CTTCACGGTCAGGGCGGCTAGGATCTGGAACCAACTTCCAAGAGAAGTGGTGCTGGCTTCTACCCTGAGGGTCTTTAAGAGGAGGCTAGACGAACACCTTGCTGGAGTCGTTTGACCCCAGTACTCTTTCCTGCCATGGCAGGGGGTCGGACTTGATGATCTACCAGGTCCCTTCTGACCCTACGAACTATTTATTTAGTTCATTAACTTACACTATCCAGAGCAGCGTGCTTTTGCAATGTCCCTTCCTATCTCTACCCATAGAGATGTGCTGCTCAAAAAGCTTCACACCTGCTATATCAGAAAGATATTTTAATCAGTAAATCCGCCTGGGTTCTGGTCCCTTTATGTTGGCAGAGTGATGTAAAATGGCTGTAACATGGCTCTGAAGTAGTATTGAGCAAGAACTAAGAGGTTTTAATGTGAATCACCAGCGGTATTATACCCTCAGCAGAAAGTAGTGGCTATTGATCTCAAGACTGTAGACCAAGTAAAAGTTTGGACAAGTAGGTTTAAGTCTGATTTATCCACAATACATTTATTTTCCATTGATAATGGTGTATGCCTAGCCATGGACGAATCCAGTACTTTGGATAGGGGGTGCTGGAGCAGCAACTTGTGCTGCAGGGGTGGTTGTACCCTGGTTCCCAGCCTCCCATCAACATCAGGGAGGGTGTTGATGAATGAGCAGCAGCAAGGGCCTTTTTTAAGTCCCTCCAGCAGGTAAGAATCTGCCCTCCCCACTCCTTGCTCTCCATGCTCAGTGGCAAGTTCCCTCTCATCCCCTCTCATTCACCCCCTCCCCTACCTGGCATTGTCTCCAGCTGACTGGGGGGCATTGGTGGGGTTCCTGTCCTGTTTTAGCTGAGCTACACATGGAGCCAGGCTTGGCTAAGGACAGCACTGGCAGTGGTGGCACCAGGCAGGGTTCTGTTCCACTGAGCCTGCTTCTGGGCTGGCAGGGAAGACTGGAGGGAGTGGTTAGGACTGAACTTGCGCGTTGCTGTTGTTGGCCCTGGTTGAGAGCAGCTCTCTTTGGAGCCCAGCTAGAGCCAGCAGGAGTATTTCTATCCCCGCCCCTACAGTAGCTGAAGATAGCAATAGACACGAAAGGATGGGAGCGAGGGGGGTGCTTCTTAGTATAGAGGGGAAGGAAAGGGGGAATTCTTTTTGCTTCAGGGATTTAAAAACATTCCCTAGCTGCTGCTCCCACTATATGGTCAATGGAAGAGGGAGAAGAGGTTGACCAGGCCACTGAGGAAGAAGGGCCACTGTATGCCCCCCTCTCCCCCAGATCTACTCCTGTGCCTAGCACCCTAATTCATATGGCGGTATTTCTTATCATTGTTACAGAATAACATGCAATAAGTAGCAAATAATATTTATATTGGATAGGGGTTTCAGGCTAATAACTGGGATTCATATACATTCACATACCTTTTGGGATTCACATACATTTTAATGAATATCAGTAGTCATCTGAATGCCAAGGAATATTGATTAATCTGAACCTTATAAATCCAAGCTTTCAGGCACAAATGTATTTGTGTATCTTGTCTACTGGAAAGCTTTGTCTATTTTTCATTCTTGCTTTTCTGGAGGCTGCTTTTCAAAATTTGGTTTTATTCAAATAAAAAAAATGTTGGGTCTGTTGCTTAGTTTTACCATTTGGCCTACTATCTTTGGAAAAGTGCTGTAGGGAAGATAGGTGGAGAATTTGAAATTTTAAACTGCATAGCAGTCTCTGCACATTGCTAATAAACAATATTAAGAACAACACCATTTCTGTCTGCAAAAGAAAAAGACCCTCCATGCCTCCTTTGTTTTATGATGCTTTTTTTTTAAACAGGGGTCATTTTTTTTATTGTTATCTTTTAGGGGAAACATTGGTAGGCTACTTTCAGCAATTGTTTTTGAAGAAAAGCCTCTGAAAAAGAATGAGTGATGCATTCTAGCTAAAAGTGGCAGGGCTTTTCTGCCAAACTTGCCCTTCCTCAGACTTAAGGGTTTTTGGCCAAACATGCTCTCCCTCAGTTTCACCCTGAACACCATCATTCCCACACTTCATTATGTGTATTGATATATATGGCAGGTAGGGAACTGTTAGAGTATTATAGGGATAATTAGAGTATTGGCTCTAACTGATGTGGCTAATATCATGCCCCACCTAGGTAACATTAATTCCTTATGACAACCTGAAGTGTTGTGTCTTGGTCTTGACTACCTAATAATTAGTTAGTCAGATAATTAGTTAGATAATTAGTTTATTTGCTTACCTTTTGGAAACTCCAGTTATTCTGGATTGTTTGACAACGTAAATTGGGTTATCAGTTGTTGTTTCATTTTAGTTTTAGTGTTGAATATAGTACATGTAAAGGGACAGCACTAAAGATTGAAGTTTCCTTTATACACAGAATAGGTACAGCATAGGCCACTGCCTGAAAACTTCTGGCCAGGCTGTATGCAGTCTGCCATGGCCCCAATTAGTGGGAACTTTCTGTAGCAAGGAGAGAATAAATACTCCTCTGCTGCCAGGTTAGTCTTTGGCCTCTTGGCCGAGTTTTCCAGAGAAGTTGTCAGCGAGTGTCGTGGCTTTGTAACACCAGGAATTTTTGTGAAACCTCAAAACTCATTTTACAAAGGTCTCTGAGCAGCCATCAGATGTTACTACCTTTCAGTCACTGCTAACTAACACTACTAATCAGCTTTGGTGATGAGTATCCTCCTTACATCTGCATATATACCCACATGTGTGTACACACACACACACACACACACACACACACACACACACACACACACACACACACACACACACACACACA